GACCCCGGAGCTCCGTCCTGCCCTGGGCCGGCTCACCCGCTCCCGCGAGCCGCCCGCGGCTTGGGGGCGGGGGCTTCGGGCACGGTGGAAGCCCCCCGCACCCCGCAATGCCGGCCGCGTGCCCGCGGCTCAGGACAGTCACGCGCTCTCCCCTCCCGAGTGGATTCTAACTTGTCCGCGTTCGTCGGAGGCGCGGTTTTGAGACACGGCCTGGGGCTGGCGGCTGTGACCCGAGGACCCCGCGCGGGGTCCGGGGGCGGCGGACGGGGGCTCCGCGAGCATGCGGCAGCTCTGTCCGGCACGTAGGACGTGTTTACGTGCAAGGCATTACCGGGGCCTGTGCGTCGGCCCTTTATTATTTGCACGGTAAAAATAAAGGGATCCGAGAGGGCAGGTCACTCGCCGAAAAGGCCCAGCGGGAACGGCCAGGCCAGACCTGCAGGCTGCAGGCGACCCCGAGCCATGCTCTCCACAACTACTTGGGGGCGCGGCCCCCCCCAAATCCCAGCCAGGCGTGCGCCCCTCGACTCGCCGCCGAGCGAGGGAGGAAGCCCGGGTCGCAGGGAGGGCCCCGCTCGGAGCACGTGGTGAGCGCCCGGCCGCTCGCGCAGCCGCCCCGGGCGGCGCAGCGTGGGCGGCGCTCGAGCCCCGCGGCGCAGGGGCCCGAGTCTCGCTGGCGTGACGCACTTCCGGGGCGTCGCAGGCGGCAAGATGGCGGCTCCCATGGAAGTGGCCGTGTGTACGGACTCGGCGGCCCCGCTGTGGAGCTGCGTGGTGTGGGAGCTGCATTCGGGCGCCAATTTGCTCACGTATCGCGGCGGCCAGGCCGGGCCCCGCGGCCTGGCGCTGCTCAATGGCGAGTACCTGCTGGCGGCGCAGCTGGGCAAGAACTACATCAGCGCCTGGGAGCTGCAGCGGAAGGTGCGGCGGCGCGCGCCCTGGCCCGGGCTTCGTGGAGAGTGCGCGGGGCGCCCGAAAGCGGGGTCCGGGGAAGGGTCGGTGGGGGCAGCACGCTCCCTGAACCGGGGTGGGGATGGGGAGTCTCGGTTAGGGTGTGCTGCGCCTGCGCGAGTCTGGGGGCGTTTTGGAGGAGGGAGGTGCGCGCCCGGCGGGTGGGATCATTTCGGGCGCTGCGCGCGCGCAGGGCTGAGGGTGGGCTCCTCGGGGAGAGTGGGGTGCGGGTCTTTGGGGCAACCGTTCTTGATGGGCTGGGGAACTGGGGAGAGCCCTTGGGGCGCGAAATTTAATTAAAGGGAGGACTCTCATTTGGAGTTCCGTGCGTCTCTTGGTCTTGGAAGGTGAATGTGCGAGGCCCGGGAGGGTGATGCGTTTATTTCTCCCAAAGGGAGTACTGCCCTTCCCCATAAGGGCCCATGGGTCTCTTCTTAAAACACCCAAAATGCAGGGGTACCTGGATGGCTCAGCGGTTAGGCGTCTGCCTTCGGCTCAGGTCATGATCCCAGGGTCCTGGGATTGAGCCCCTCATCAGGTTCCCTGCTCAGCTGGGAAGCCTGCTTCTCCCTCTCTCCCTCTGCTGCTCCCCCGCCTTGTGTGCGCGCTGTCTCTCTCTCTGTCAAATAAATAAAATCTTAAAAACAAAAAACAACCCATCCAAAATGCAGCCTGTGAAGCTTGCAGCTGCCCAGTTCTGCCAGCTGAAGTCTTGGCACAAGCTCTGTCCTCTGACTTTGCCTGGTGTGACCTGCACACAGTCGTGAAGTTTTTCCATCAGATGAGGAAAGTGAGGGTCAGGATCACAGGCCAGACCTTAGGGAAGGCAGGATTGTGGCCATTAGGCTCTCTCTCAGCTCCTTCCTGGACCCTCTGTGCCTTGACCACTCTCCCGTCCCCAGAGTAAGCACCATTGTGCTTTTATCCGACAGTCTGCAGGCCTCCCCTTCCATCTGCTGGAGCAGATCCCATCTTGATTGAGCTTTGATTTGTTCAAACCGCCCTTGTTCCTGCTCCTCTTTCTGGCTCCCTCGGAATTTTCTCCCCGCTGTCCCCTAGCTCCTGAGTTCCATGTGAAGCTCAGAGGCTTCTTATGTCTCTCTAGGACCAGCTCCAGCAGAAGATCATGTGCCCTGGGCCTGTCACCTGTCTGACCACATCACCCAATGGCCTCTATGTCCTGGCGGGGATTGCAGAGAGCATATACCTGTGGGAGGTAAGAGGAGGTATAAAACCAAGGTAGTGGGATTTGGTCTGCAGGTTAATTAGGTCGTGTTATGGGCACCTCGGTGGCTCAAAGTGGGCTGAGCGTCTGCCTTCGGCTCAGGTCATGATCTCAGGGTCCTGGGATCAAGCCCCACATCGGGCTCCCTGCTCAGCGGGGAGTCTGTTTCTCCCTCGCCCCTTGGTCCTCCCCCCTGCTCTTGCACGCTCTCCCCCTCCCCTCTCTGTCAAAAAAATAAAATCTTTTTTTAGAAAATTAGGGTGTGTTGTCACCAACATTTGGTTATGTGTGGGCGGGAGAGACCCACCTCACCACCTGCACAGACCATGTAGGGTTTGGGGCCAGAAGATGGAGACACGACCACGCTCTTCCTTTCTTGAGTCTGTCCACACCTGTGAATCGACCTTTGTCCTTCCCCCAGACGTCTCAGAGCACCACAGAGATGTGAGGGAGCCTAGTTATTTCATTCTGGGGACTGTTAAACCCCAGTGCATGATTCTAAAACTAGGAAGCAGTTGCTGTGGTGCAGGGAGGGAAACTGAGGCAGGGGGTTCCTCAAAGGTTGCCCATCACGGTAGAAATCCTTGCCGTGGTGCGGAGGGCAGAAAGCAGCGTCTCCTCTGCCGATGAGGGGCATCTCAGGTCTTCGCTTGAGGGCTGTTGTCTGAGCCTGGTTCCTCCTTGGAGCTTTCCTGGCTGGCATGAGCCGTGACCACAGGGGCACCCCCCACAGCCAACCCGAGGCGGCAGCTCAGGCTGAGGGCCTGACTCAAGTATCAGCCACGGTGCCCCTTTCCCCCCCTCCCTCTGTGTGGATGAGGACGAGGAGGGAAGCTGGAAATCCTCAGGGGGAAAGCATGCGTGTCTCTCTAGGTTTTTCTCTTGTAAGGACGCCACTCGTTAGGTTTAGGGTCACCGTACTCCAGCGTGACCTCAGTCTGAACTGGTTAGACCTGCAAAGACCCTTTATGCGAGTAAGGCCTGAGTCCAGGAGTTAGGGTGTGAACATGTGTGCTAGGGGAACGCAGCTGAACTCACAACGGAATCTGGGCCCCCCAGCCCACCCCACTGCCCAGGTGGTGTGATGGGCTCACCTGTCCCTGCCACCTGGGGCCTCCCCCTTCCCTCAGCCCCACCCACTGGCCCATCCCCACCCGGTGGCCTCTGAAGACAGTGACTTCCTGCTCCTGGGTCCCAGGTCCAGCTGGTCCTGAACGGAGGGGTCCACACTTTCAACAGCCTCCTGTGGTCACTCTGGTCCACGCAGACGGCCCCTGCCCTCCCCGGGGGCCGTGGTGACATCACTCCTCGCCCTGTACTGGACAGGGGTCCTCGGACCACCTGACGCCCAGGCCTCAGAGGTCAGGGTGACGGGACAAGGGGGTGGAAGCTCAAATAGGGCCGTCATCCACTTGGGGACATAATGGGGACAGGCACAGGCAGGACAGCTGGGAGGAGGCCCGGCCCACCAAGCCTGGGGGTCCCTTCCAGACCGCCTGCAGGCTGTCGCCCAGTGCCTCCAGCTGACCTGGCAGTGGGGGGCGGGCACGGCGCCGGGTCTCCCGCGCTGACCTGGCTGCGCCCTCCGCAGGTCTCCACGGGGAGCCTCCTGGTCATCCTGAGCCGCCACTACCAGGACGTGTCGTGCCTGCAGTTCACGGGGGACAGCAGCCACTTCCTGTCGGGGGGCAAGGACTGCCTGGTGCTGGTGTGGGGCCTGTGCAGGTGGAGGATGGGCCCCTTGGGCTCTGGGTCTGGCCGCAGGGCGGGAGGGCGGGGGAGCCGTCGGAGAGCTGGGGGGGCCTGGTGGCCACGTGGCCGCAAGGGGACGTGGGCTCCCCCTGCTGAGGTCCGTGCCCTCCGCACAGCGTGCTGCAGGTGGACCCCGCCAGGACCCCATCCCCCCGGCACGTCTGGTCTCGCCACACCCTCCCCATCACAGACCTGCACTGTGGCTTTGGGGGGCCCCTGGCCCGGGTGGCCACCTCCTCCCTGGACCAGACAGTGAAGGTAGGGCCCCCTCACCCCAAGTGGATCTGTGAGTCATGCCCTGGCGGCTACGGGTTCTTGGCCGGCCTGAGCCCGTGAATGGCCTCCTTCCCTGGCAGCTCCAGACAGCTCTGAATCCCGCTGGTGCTTCTGGCCTCAAGGACGGCCAGAGGGTGGACGGTCCAGGCGTGTGTCGGCTTGGAAATTCCCACTTGGCTGCCTGTACCTGGCAGCTCCCTGGCCAAACCTCAGGGGATTTGAGGGCACCCCGGCCCTCGGGGCGTCGCCACGGGCGGGGGCCGGCAGCCGCTAACGCAGGGGTCACGGGCATGAGGGGCAGGCTGAGTCTCAGCCCCCGGGGCCCCGTGGGTGGTGGCTGTGGTCCCGGTTCCCCGGGGGTCCAGAGTCTCGGGTCTGTCCCACACCCACCCGCACCCCCAGCTGTGGGAGGTCTCATCGGGCGAGCTGCTCCTGTCCGTGCTCTTTGATGTGGGCATCATGGCCGTGACCATGGACCTGGCCGAGCACCACCTCTTCTGTGGAGGCAGCGACGGTGCCATCTTCCAGGTGGACCTCTGCACCTGGGTGAGTGGCCGCGGCAGCCAGGGGTCCGTGGGCCCCGGGGTGGACGTGGCCGACGTGGCTGACGGGCCCCCTTGGCCTCCACAGCCTGGGCAGAGAGAGAAGAGCTTCCAGCCGGAGCGGGACAGCGGCAAGGTGTTCAGAGGCCACAGGTGCGGGCCGGGGCCCTGGACGCTGGGGTGGGCGCGGGAGGGGCCCTGTTCTCTCGCGGTGGGCTCGGGGTCACCTTGTCCACCCGCAGGAACCAGGTGACCTGCCTGTCCGTGTCTGCCGACGGCAGCGTGCTGCTCTCGGGCTCCCACGACGAGACCGTGCGTCTCTGGGACGTCCAGAGTAAGCAGTGCGTCAGGACGGTCACCCTCAAAGGTGAGGCGCCCTGGAAATGGGCCCCGGGGCGGCCGGTCCTCCTCCCCTCTTGGAGGCCGTGGCTCTCCCCGGGTGGGCACGGCAGCGTTGTCTGGACCCACGCGCCACCGCAGGGCCTGGCGCCGGGCGGGGGGTGGGCACTGCCGCTCTCGGACCGCTGGGGGGCCTGGCGGGGGAGGTGGGTCGTGACCATGACCCCCCCCCGCCACGCAGGCCCCGTGACCAACGCCTCCATCATGCTGGCGCCCGTCAGCATGCTGAGCTCAGACTTCAGGCCCGGCCTGCCCCTGCCCCATTTCAACAAGCACCTTCTGGGCGCCGAGCACGGGGATGAGCCGCACCGCGGGGGCTTCACGCTGCGCCTGGGTCTCCACCAGCAGGTAGGCGCTGCCCCCCCCACGGGACGCCTGCCCTGGGCCTCAGCGAGACTCTGCGGGCCCAGCGCCTGCTCCGGGCGGCTCTTGACGTCCTACGGGGGCCGTGGTGGCGGCTGACGCGCACACGGGGTCCTCCGCCGGGAGGAAGGCGGGAAGTTCGGAGTGGACGTGCGCTGTGCGCCAGGGCACGTTCGGGAGCAGAGCTGGACCTGAAGGCGCCAGGTGTCTGGCCACCGTGGGCGGAGTAGCAGGGCACTCATACCCCTGGCCCCAACCTGGGGGGTCTCTGGGGACGGCCCGTCCGCCCCCCAGGCCCAGGGGCCCCTGCCTGTCTTCAGGCTGTGCTCTTGTCTTCCGCGGTCTCCGTGCCGAGCCTCTCGAAGTCGGGGGTGGGGGGGCGTCCACAGTCCTCCTGCAGATAGCTTGACATCTGGCTCTGCTGAGCACCCGTCTGCCGGCCGAGGGTGGTGTGTCAGACGCTGTCCGGCCGGAGACAGACCGCCTCCCTGCTGCCATGTCGCTGGGCCGGGCCGGCAAGCTGCCCGCAGGCCTGGTCGGGCAGAGTTCTGGCGCAGGGAGCGGATGGGAGCGTGGGGGTCGGAGCCCGCGGCCTCGACAGAGACATCAGCCCCCCCTCCCCCAAGGGTGGGGGCGCCACACCCCAGCCCCCCCTTCGGTCAGCGGGTGTCTGGCGTCTCCCTCATGGGGGCGCCGCCCGGGGTCCCGGGCCACTGACGCAGACTCTCCCGTGTTGCAGGGTTCGGAGCCCAGCCACCTGGAGAGGGCAGAGCAGTTGCTCGGGGTGATGAGCAGCACGATGGAGAAGGTGGGCTGCGGCCCTGCCCTGGGGGAGGGGGCGGGGACTGTGGGGTGCGACACGGGGACAGGGCCCCGCTCCCTCGCCTCTGAGCCCCTGTCCCTCCGCAGAGCGTCTTGGGCGGCCAGGACCAGCTGCGGATCCGCGTGGCCGAGCTGGAGGACGAGGTGCGGAATCTGCGCAAGGTCAACCGCGACCTGTTCGACTTCTCCACGCGCATCATCACCCGGCCTGCCAAGTGAGCCCGGCCTGCGGCCTGGCAGCCCCTGCGTCCCCCGCCCCTGCACGGAGACCTGCTGGGAGCTTTCAGCCCCAGGAGCACTTGTTTCTCCAGGCGTTGGGCCACTGGTGTTTCTGTGGCCTCTTGGTGCTGTTTTGTTTTTAACAAAAGAACTAAAAGCCCCTTTTCTCCGGGCCTGTCTGTGTGCCGGGGGGGGGGGGGGCCGCTGTAGCGCCCGCGTCCGCCAGGACTCGTGGCAGGACCTGTCTCAGCAGAACCCGCTGGGCCCAGTTTTTAAAACTTAGTGCCCAGAAGCCATGGTTCTCAGACTTCAGCTGCTTGTCGGCTGCCCCAGGGCCTTGGCTCAACTGTGAGGGCTGGGTGATACTCGGTGGGAGGGGG